GCTATAAACAAGTCTACTGAAGAAAATGTCAGTATTTCTTCTTGTATTGTTAATTCATGAACGCTGTTAAAATGTTCCAGCAGAAGTTTTTTGGAATAACTAGCACCACACAGACCACAGTTCAAAATGTTCGAATTATCAGGTGTTTCAATTATTTCACCATGGTCATTCTGGAGATGATAACGTAGCCGGCGATTTTGATTGAATTTCCTGGAACATAAATGACAAGGAAAATTAAACACTTTCTGCAACTTCTTTGGATTCACTAATTCGTTCACATGATCTGGATGAAAATTATTTGTATGCACTTTTAAATAACGAAACTCTTTAAAAGTCTTTCCGCACAATGTGCATGTGTAACTATTTACAATGTCAGTTTCTGCAGAAGCCGTAAATTCAGGTAGTTCATTCACGATGTTGGCCATCTCAACAATGAGGACAAATGCTACACACAAAAATATGAAATAATCCTAACGAAATAAATACGTAAACTAAAAACTTAATAAATGAAATTTGCGAAAAACTGAATGCTAATAATAAGTAAAATCAATAATAAAACAGATGTTAATAAAATGAATTTTGTATTTAATAAGCTACGATCGACGTCTCTTCTTCGGATATCAAACTACTACTAGAGCCAAGGACCTGTCAGTAGACCGATTGCTTACTGTACTCGAGTTTATTACCTCCAAAAATGGCCGACAGAGGGAGCCTCTATCAGAGTAAGTTGGAACGCGCCCGGGTCGCTAGACGCTTGTTATTACTTGTACTGTACTTTAGTTAGTATCTATCCTTCTTGTATACAGTATAGGTTTAGATTTAGCTCTTTATTTTTATTATTAGTATAATATGTACTGTACATGAAATGCTCAGAGGCTTAAACGGCATTCGTTAATCGAATTCCCGTCTAAAAACTATTAGAACCTGATGCAGAGCCCAAAAGGGGTTCAAAAACGTTCGTTTTTTCGATGTTATTACCTCACTGTAAATTGGTTCCGTGTGAGTAATTTTTCAAATAACAATTTTATATCTTTAAAAATTCATACACATAAAAGTAACACAATTTACTTCACTTTTAATAAATATACAAAATACGACATTTTTACAAAGGTAAAAAATCTTGCTTCTGTCAATCTTTCCGCTGTTTCGTTTCTACACCATCAGCGATCCTTAAGACAATTCACAAAAGTTTTCGAAGACGACCTTCCTTTTAAGGCTACTGCCTCCGCAGAAATATGCCTCAAATGGCTGCCCCTCTCTTTTAAAGAAAATTGCTAGAGTCCAGATGAGATGAAATTTTTAATTAATTACAACAAAATACATCATTTATTTAGACTAGCGCTTAAATTTGAAATAATTGGAAAAAAGAAACAGATTTTTAATCAAATTTAAAATTTTCTACTCATAACATGTTTCAAAATTAATTTCAAAAAATAATAATATACAGTACTGTAAAAATATAAAATAATAGCTAGTGGCGCCCCTAGTGGCCGTTTTTGGCATACCGTGTCAGAAACCGGATTTCCGCTTTTATATACAGTAGTTAATGACTTAATAACGTTTTGTAAAATTTTTCGCTAATAGATGGCACTACGTGTACTTTAGATTAAGTATAAATAGAATAAACATCGTTATTTCTTCCGAAGTCGTTAGTGGTCCGCTCAGCGGAGCTCGGCCTTCATTCCGCCATGTGCATGCAGTCTGGGTCTGAACCACTAGTTGTCTTTTTTTTTCCACCCCCTCAAACTGTCCGCCAACATGTTCCCGTTGTAATGTGCAGTTTGGGTTCGGACGTACATGTCGTCTTTTTTTTTTTTTTTTCTCAAACGCTCCTGCATCAAGCTTACGTTGCAGCGATGCAGTCCCGGGTTCGCGCCGCCAGTCGTTTTTCTTTTTTTTTCCTGTTTAAAATATCATTCATCTTGGCAGTTAAGTCCATACACAGCTAACTTACGAAATGTCGAACATCGCATTCCAAAATAACTATTGGGTTTCTATAAATCAATCGATTTATAACCGCACAAGTAGTCTTCGTTTTAACGTAGCGCCATCTATTGGCAGAAAATTTTAACGAACCGACAAAAATAATTTTTATAAAAAAAATATAACTTTAAAATATATATATTATATTCACTTAATAACGTTCAGTTAAATCATTATATTAAATTAAAAACATAAATCTGATATTTAAACAAAATACAAATTTTTATTTTGATTTTAAAATTAATGCAGGTGGCGCATAGTGACTTTACTTTATAATTTTAGATTAAAGGGACACAAAGAGCCCTTTGTCGTCTTTCATCGGCATCTTCTGTCTTCACTCAAGTGGGCCTTAAATAAGCGGTACACAGAACAACTCGTTCCAAATGCTGCAAGCATTTGACTTGAAGACCAACTTCAACTCATGTTTTGTGGAAGCATCAGCGACTGTTCCTAATCCATATTCGTTGAAGTTAGGCATCCCATTCCATACGAACCACATCGTTTATGATTTGCTTCGTTTCTAAGAAAAGACCATCAATTAAACTTCAACTTCCGGGTTGAGAATAGTCAAAACCGGAAATCTTGACGCACAGGAAAGGTGTAATCGAAGTACGAATGCAAAGGCAATCTCTACATAAAAACTTCTCCTTGCGTTAATATTCAAAGCTGCAAAGAGCAATGCTTTTGAAAGATCACATCAAGACGGAATGTGTCACCAAGCTAAAACAGTTTTAAATGTTCTGGATAATTTTTAAAACAATGCAATATTTGAAACTAATTATATTCCGACTTCATTAATTGTGATAATCAAGCAATTCGTTAAAAGCTTGAACGATGCGGTTTGTATGGAATGGATGCCTAACCTCGACGAATATGGATTAGGAGCAGTCGCTGATGCTTCCACAAAACATAACTTGAAGTTGGTCTTCAAACCGAATGCTTGCAGTATTTGGAACGAGTCGTGAAAAATCCCAGTTGGATTTTTCGTCTGGATTTTTCACACGAACTTCTGTTATTAGTAGCAACAGAATGTTTGGGAAATGTTTGTGTCGTGTCTTGCAACAGGATACGAACATTCCGTATTGCTCGAATCTTTCCCTAAACTTTTCTGAATAATATCACAAGAATTTGGAGCAAGTTTTGCACCTGTGAAGTAATAGCATCATTTAATGGCGGAGCAGAATGTTTTAGACGATGCTTGGAAAATCGTTCCGTCATATCATAAACGTCATAGTCGAATAATCTGAATCGCTATCCAGTGAATTGAAAACTTTCGCTGAGAAATGCCGATGATATACGAATTCCCTAGAATTCCCGAATCAGATGATATACGACTTGCGGGAGCACCCTTTTAATCTCTCATTCGGCAATGCTTCGTGGCAATTGTCCAATTCGTTTACGTTCTCCACACTACCTTCTACTGTACGTTATCGAAAGACTTTACTATTGAGAAGAAGTAAAGTAAACGAAGTCGATTCGGATTTCGAATATTGTCAATAACGACCATTACCTGTTGCATTCGCTTCCGTTGCCTCGAATATTTACTTGTACTCCTAATTATTACGGTAACAAATACCGGGCGAAAATGCCCGAAGGCGGGCTACAGGCTTATAAAACCTCGGGGGCGGTACCGCAGTCGACTGGCCGTGCGACGGGCCCGCTCCCACCTCACGGTCGAGGTGGAGCCGCGTGATGGGGCGCGCTGCATCTCTACGCGCTTTTTTTCAACACTGAGATGTGNAGTATTTTCTCTCGGCACTGAGGAGTGGCGTATCGCTGGTCCTACGATAGTGCAAGCTGATCAGTCGTAGCCCCAGAGCGGACGAGATGGGTTCGCTTGGTCACAGAAGCGATGGTAGGTGACAGAGCTGCAACAACTGGAGCGGTCCGCGAGACACAACACAAATTTTAGCGGGCACGACTTCAGGCTTAATCCAGATGAAGACGACACAGATTAATCTCCATAGAATTTTTAGGGAAACTGCGTTTTGACCTCGAGATTCGGGGTTTTTATAGTATTTCTTCCTTGAATCTCACCTTACGATTAGTCCCGCGTCCCATTCCTCGCTTCCCGATTGTTTTCTTCTTTGTTTCCAGGTGAAAACCGAAACCAGATCAGGTCACGAGAAAGGTTTGTTCCGAGGCGTTTATTTGACACCTGTTTGTCAACTCTGATCAGAGATTGTTGATAAACCTATAAGCTTTTCGCTCATAATTTAGCCTATTGTTTCTGCTATCTGTGATTTTAGAACTTTAACGACCGTATGTGATGTTTTTATACCCGTCAAATCTTTCTCCTTTTCCGAAAATTTAACCTAGATCGACTGTTTATGAGCACGTTTTCCTATATTTTCAGTAAAGAAAACCCATTTTACAAATAAAATTACAAAAATACTGACGTCTAGAACGGATTAATTGTATTTGCATTAATTTCTATGGGAAAAATGGCTTCTGTTAACGAACAATTCGGTTAACGAACGGACTTGTGGAACGGATAACGTTCACCGGGGTTCCACTGTATAGTGTACAGAGGCAAGACACTACTAATTTAACGTAGTGCACATATTTTTTTAAATTAAATAAATTAAAAACACGATTAAAAACTTCAGCCCAGCATTGTGACAATGTCACAATAAATAATAACTTGTTTGATATATATTTCATTTGTAAACGATGTTTTATTCCTTGGTAAATATCTTGTATGCAATAAAAATGCATATTTGAAATATATAAAACTAATTTTTTTATTAAAAAATTATTTTTTATTTCTGAATTAATAATTAGAAATATTAATGAGTGAATATAAATTTACATAATGCATCAACAGAAAATTAGATTGACTATATGATTGGATAAAGTAAATCAGCAAACATTAAACATTTATAAGTAGTGAACTATTAACTTGTGGAGGATTATCTTGATATTCTATCATATAAAACAACTTAACTGAGCAATTATTGAGAAATCTGGAATATTTATAGTTTTGTCATATTGGCAAGTAGAAATAAACAATTGACTGGTCTACTAATGGTTTTATTTACTCTGTTTCTGGTCCAATGATAAAATCTACCAAACTTACTTTTCAATAGGTAACAACATCCAATAATATATTAAAAAATTAAATAAACAGTCTCTACAGAAACAAGTTCTTCATTGCTTTACACCATATTTTTCTTTGTTCTTGGCATTGAATTCTGCAATCCGTTCTTCAATAATGGGTCTGAAATGTCGAACCAGCCCCTGAAAAATACAAAACTTCAGTTGTTTTCACAAGTAAATTTCAAAATTTGATCAATTTGTTGTTATGTACAGTACATTAGCTTAATTAAATGGCATTTCTTAAAATCTATCTTTCTAAGTTAAATTCTGGAAAAATTAAAAAATGGAAACTTTTGAACGAAAGGATAAAAAACTTTAATTTCTGTACCAGTATGGTTTATAAAACAAAGAATAGTAGTATGTAGAAAGATACAATCAAAATGATTTCAAGGATATATTGAGAAATGTTAAAATCATAATTATTCCTATTTCCACACATTCGTAGAAATCAATTAATTTTTTATATCTTATATTTAATTATCAAATGATAATTGCATTGCAATGTAAATTTTTTTAAAGGCAAATCATCTAAGAGACAGAAAAAAACTATAAGCAAAAATTGAAAGATGTTATAATAAGCCTTTTTCAAGTATATTTCTGTAAGAGGTAAGAGTAAACTGTTTTCAAGTCAAAAAATTCTATAAACAATAAATGATACTACTTTTATTTGTAAACTATAAGAAGAATCATAATTTATACAAACATATATTTAATTCTCCATATAAAAGTGAAGATTAACAATTAAAAATATTTTTTAAATATCCTTTTTCATTATAATCATGTTTTTTGAAAGTTTAATTATTATTATTAATAATTAAATTACAGAAGAGTGAATGCAGGATTTCGGGTGGTGCAATGAGTAAATTTGCAAAGGATAAGTGGATTTCCAGAGGCACAAATGACTGTTTATGGGATGTTGTGGTGCCTGTGCTCATATATAATAATGAAATTTGGATATGCAGAAGAAAAAACAGGAGTTGTATGTGAGATGAAGTATTTCAGAGGAGTGTGTGACATAATGAGAAGAGACTATTGAAAGTGAAAATAAATCTCTTAAGTCAGAAAGAGAATGTGAAGAAGTTTACTAGAAGAGACATGAGTGTATCTGAAGCAAAAGAGGTGTGTCTGGACAGGTAGGGTATGGAAAAGGTTGTTGAATGAATGTTTTATAGGATTGTAGTTTCCTTTTGCTTGCTGCTCACCCTTTTTGGATTATAAGCATGAGTTTATGTATGTATAATTAAATTATACTACTAGGAAATAAAAGTTGTATGAGAATAAGTATTGGTTTAGCAAATTTTAAAAGTTATCTTGTTATATTACACTTACCTGTACAGGCCATGCTGCACCATCTCCTAGAGCACAAATAGTATGACCTTCAATCTGTTTGCTTAGCTCATAAATCATATCTATTTCATCTGTTTTTGCATTTCCATCCACTATAAAGTTAAAAAATATATATGTATACTACCATCACATAAAAGAAATATAAATATTAAACTATAATATTACAAGTGTCTGTAATATTATTAATATTAAACTATAATATTACAATATTACAAGTGTCTGTAATAGTAGTATAAATCTTTAATGGTAAGGTAATTATTTAATTAATTTTATGCTACTTTATGTTAAAATTTATTTTCATAACTAAAACAATATACGAGGTCTGTAAATAAAGTAATGAGACTGGTTTCATAGCAAATGATCTGGCAACACTTGGGTTCTTCTAGCCAGTGATGTAAGGACAACATGCCTTATAGCTTCAGTTTAATTGAAAATCTTGTCACATTAACCAGTGGACTGAATGCATATTTTGCAAAGTGCTATTTTGTTGTGCATTCCAAAAATGAGTGAACATAGTTACGAACAACATTGGGCGACCAGGTTTTGTTTCAAACTCAGAGACAATGCCACTGAAACATTTGCAAAACTTCAACAGGCCTATGGGAAGACTGCTTTGTCAAGAGCCCAGATTTTTTAATGGTTTAAAACATTTTCAAAAGGCTGAGAATCTGTTGAAGATGACTGTCAGCCAGGAAGGCCATCAACTTCACAAACTGATGCAAATGTGGAACAAATCAGACACCTTGTGCAATCTGACTTAGTTAACCGTCAGATTGATTGCAGATGAGCTGAATTTGAACCACACAAATGTTCATCAAATTTTGGCCAATGAATTGTGAATGAGAAAAATTTGTGCAAAAATGATCCCCAAAAACTGCACTTCTCACCAAAAAGACAAGAGGAAGAAAGTGTGCTGTGATCTTCTGGATCGAATTGAAAATATCCAGATTTCCTCACAAATTTCATTATGGGTGATGAAACAAGGATCTTTGAGTACGATCCAGAAACAAAACACCAAAGTGAGGAGCAGCACACAGCAACCTTCCCACAGCCAGAAAAAGTGAGAATGAGCAAGTTGTAGATCAAACTCATGTTCATGTGCTTCTTTGACAGCAATAGAATTGTCCATAAAGAATTCATGCCTCAAGGACAAACTGTCACTCAGCATTTTTACTGTGAGGTTCTTGAAAGGCTGCAAAAATGAGTTGCTCGCATGAGGTCAAACATCAAAGAGACCTGGATGCTGCATCATGTGACTACTTTCTCTTCCCCAGACTGAAACAACACCTCAAAGGACATCATTTTGGCATGACAGAAAACATAAAACAGGCTGTAACTGACCAGTTGAAAGCCATTCTGCTTTCTGCATTTCAGCACTGCTATGAAGAGTGGAAGCAATGTCTCAGGTGCTGTGTCACTTCCCAAGAGGACTATTTTGAAGGACACAGTTGATTTGTAATTAATTATGAATACAGATATTTACAGAAAAAGTCTCATTACTTTACATATTTTTTAGAACTTGATTAATCCAATGTATCTGAAAATTAAAAGTATATACAGTAAAACCTGTGAAAGCCAGAATTGCAAGAGACCCTATAAACTTGTCCAGCTTAGTCAGATTTTCCATCGTAGGCAAGCCAGAACAAGAGATAGCCTAGCCACTGATTTAAGATGTAAATATACATTATTACAAGAGTCAATCTAGCTGTAGAATTTGCTATATTTATTGAAGTTACCTCAAAATAAAAAGATAAAGAAAATATGATATTCATTCATGTATATATTCTCAATCAAAAAAGAATGAGTACATATCAATCATGTGTTCTAAGTAAAAACATATTTGTGTTTTCTCACCGAAAATGTAACTTATAGATGCCATCTCAGATGGTTTACTTGCTCAAATTCCAGATTGATAGATTTAAGATATCTCTGCATTCATATTTTTGTTAATATGTTCTTTTTAAAATGTGTTAATATATTGGAAAAGCAGATTAATCTTCCCACCTGGTCTTAAAATCAAAATTGGACTTTGGCTAGGAATGCAAGTGTTAAAATGTTGCTTAAGTGCAGATAAAAGCTGAAAATGTATTTTCTGAAGGTTTTGGAAAAACCAAACATAAAATCAAGTTTCTTATTTTACATGCTGAAAGGTTTTCTAAATGTAGCCAACCAAAGAAATCTCTCACAAAGATTTCAAAGGAAGAACTCTTTCCATATTTTGATTTGAAAAGTGGGAGATAATCTTTGTTGACATGTATAGGAACTAATGATATTTAAATCTAAACTTGATGTAATATTTAATGCAAGTATTTGAGATTATTTATTGAAGTTAACTAATTTTTAAAATATTTCACTTTGTTATTTTGTATTAGATTCTTGTCCTTAGTATTAATTGTAATATATGTATAATTGTGTCATTAGACTTAAATCATGTATATTATGCCTTTGTAACAATTTATCAAATTGTTATGTCAGCTGCTATAACATTTAACTAAACTATTTCCTAAGATCCATCATCATATAAGCAAAATAATTATTGATAGATTTGATTTTATTTCTAATGTTTTGATCAAACTTTGATTCAATGCCTATTAACCTTCCATCATTGAGAGATTCAATCTTTTGCAAGTTTTACTGTATTAAAAAATATTTGTTCTTCAATAGAAAATAACTAAAAATGAGTAATTTTTTATTGAAGAGTAATAATTTTTTTTGATATATATGTTTAAAAAAGTTTAATGATTATGACTTATTACAAAGAAAGAAATAACTTTTAAAAAGTTAAGGAACTATAATTATTACCTTATATTAACCCACAATCATGAGTTAATGAAAATTTTCCATACCTATTACTTTTTTTGTGGGGATTTTTTTATCAAATTGACTTACTTAGCTGTGCTTTCATGATATCCTCATGCTACATGCTATCCATCTGTGTACAAATTTCAGTAAAAAAAAGTTTCTGCTCATCACAGATAATCAAAAACCACTGTGGAAAAAATCACCATCTTTCACATACAATCATGTACAATTTTTCCTTATTGTCATATGATCACATGAAGGCAATTTTCCACATTAATGCCATCAAAAATGACATCTGTGCTGATTGCTGAAAGAGGTAGACATGACATGCATAGTGTGCAAGTCATTAAGATCTTGAACACTTGGCTCTGTAAGGTAGCCCGAGGCACTATGACCTTCAATAACTTAAATGTTTCCACAGCTTTACATTATCCTTAAAAAATACAGAAAAATCATTTTCTGGTTCTTCTGAGAAACAGCTCAACTCTCTCATCATTTATTTCCAACTGAACTCATTTCACATTAGCCCAAACTACTGCAAAGTTTGAAAGTATGAACTTCATAGGGCTAACAGCAGCATTGTTCTGTAAACAATGCCCTTGGTATAGCCCTATAGGGCTATATACCAGGTACCATTTTTACCATTATATATACCATTTTAACCATGATATATAGCATTTTTTTATAACCCTTTTTAGTTTTTATAACCCATTTATTTAGTTTATGAGATATATTATTTTTATAAAAAAAATAATATATAATAAANAACGCAACATGACAGTGAGAGGGAGGGGCCTCTCAAGACGACTTTATGTGAGAAACTGGCCCATATTTAGGCATTAGACATGTGAAAAAATCCAGAAAGCTCCACTTGGCCAGGGATGAACCCACAACCAGTGCTTGTTGGTTGTATTAACTCGGCCACTGACGAGCCATCGCACATTACAAGAGTAAATAATGAAGAATATTGATATTTATCAAGTGCACAAAAGATTCATCACAGAATTATTCAAAATTGTCAGATTTGAGGTACAGCAAATATGTGGAAAAAAAACTGATGTGATCATGGGATAATGATCATATAATAAATTTATTACAAATTGTAATAACTTACCAAATCTTGCCATTATTTTATTCATCCATCCAACACCTTCTCTGCATGGAGTACACTAAAAAAAAAAAAATATTAAGTTACAATAATATTTGAGTATTTAAAACATTACTTAAAATTTTTAAAGAAAAGTATAAGATTTAAATTTAATATGTTAAAATTCATTGAAATAAAATGTTAACATTAAAAAAAATCCAGCAATGAATTGCTTAGCTTTTCCAACAATATTTGGTGGTGCCATCTGTTATGATATTTTATTAAAAAAATTAAATTTTGATTGTAAGGATGGGTTTTATAAAAATATTGTAAATACTAATAATGAGTAAAATTGTCATTTAGTCTGATCCTACTGGAGATACACGTGATTTTTGATTTATTTTAATTTAAAATATATGCTCTCCACCTCAAAAATTAGTAGTATCTTGCTCCTATACATCATACTTTTCCATTAGCAATACAGTTGTGCTGGTCATCTATCTAATTCCTTACAGTGAAAAATTTTTTAACTGAAATAACATGACTTCAGGTGCAAATCAGAAATTTATATATAGTTAATCATGGCCTTCTGCCCCTAAGCTTTCCATACCTGGTCTCAGCTTTCATTTATCTAACTCTTTCCAAGATTGCGGAAGGACGGATGAATGGACAGATGGAAGAACAACAGTTAGAATTTATAGGTGTACAATTTTTTCAAATTGCAACCCAATAACCAAAACAAATTTCTAGTGGAAGATATACTTATTAGATTGGTTAACAATTAGCAAACATAAGAGAAGAGTCAGAAAAATCTTTGATTATAAAATATGCTAATTTTTAAAACAAAAATCCAAATTTCTTATTTCAAAACTCACCTGACCACAGCTTTCATGTTTGTAAAATTCTATTAAACGAGCAATAGCTTTTATAATATCTGTCTGTTTGTTCATCACAATGAGAGCAGCAGTTCCTAATCCAGACTGTACTTCAATCAATGCATCAAAATCCATTAGAACATTATCACATACACTGTAAACAAAAAAAATTATATCAATATAACAACAGAAGTTAAAATTCAAATAAATGCATTTAAGTTAGAAGTCCCTTAACAAATCAAGACCTAGGAGCAATAGTGATCTAATTAATAATCATATTCATTTTTCAGATATCATATATTTGGAATGCCAAAGACACACTTTATTTTGGGTATTAATGGAGTAAACATTAAATTATGAAGAAAAATATAGGAGCTTGAAATTATACTGAAAATACAAAGATGTTATCAGTTCTGAGCAATAGTGGTCTACTTGTCAGCAAGTGCTGCATCTGTTATTAACAGCAAAAGCTTAGTCAATACAGTAGAGTGTTGTTCATCCGAAAGAATTCCAGTCAGCAAATTTAAATTTTCGCTAGTGATGTGGCACTGCAATCTTTGGCTATATCTTGGGCTACTCCAATATTTTTTGTTTGTGTATGTGTTTTAGCTGGCAGCACTCTCACTTTTGTGTGGTGTTTTTCTGAGGACTATGTGTCATGCTGAATTGAACGTTTTTGATACTAGATTAACTTCTAAAATATAATTTTTTTTTTTGTTTTTATATTTTTCAATATATTTATTTTGTTTGTAAAAAATAAAGAAATAATTTTTAACGATACAATAGCCACGATTATTAATTTAAAAAGTTTACATTAGGCTTAACATTGACGAAAATTCAACGCAAAGCGACACGCAACGGAGAAAAATTTCAACACGGGATAGGTTAATGTATTTTTTTGTACATAATTGGTTATCCAAACAACCCCAGTCCCCAATTGATTCGGATAAACAACACTCTACTGTAATATATGCTACTTGAGATCATGTGATGTAAACAAATAATTGCTAGATAATAAAGAAGAATGTATGTTATTGTCAAGATTGCATATTGAAAAACCCTATCCAATAGTTAAAAGTTAAATCCATTGCCATTTTGTAATTCTTGTGGTATAAATAGTAAATGTAATCATTACATATTAAATTATAGTTTGATGGGTTAGGGAAACGCAACATGACAATGAGAGGGAGGGGCCTCTCAAGACGACTTTATGTGAGAAACTGGCCCATATTTAGGCATTAGACATGTGAAAAAATCCAGAAAGCTCCACTTGGCCAGGGATGAACCCACAACCAGTGCTTGTTGGTTGTATTAACTCGGCCACTGACGAGCCATCGCACATTACAAGATACTTTGTAAATAAAAGAAAAGAGCAAATTCCAATTTAAATACTGCATTAAATTATAGTATTTTATATCATTACTATTTTTAAAGTAAAGTTTACAAAACTGTAATAAAGTTTACAAAATCATCAAATGAATGAATGATCTATGAAAATCTTCATCACTTCATAATTATCTTACATAATATATTTGACAATTAAGAATCAAGTTATTCTTAACTTTTAACTAAAAACTTCTAATATGACAGCTGAATGACTGAGGCAGTAGACATCAACCTGCCACTCTGGAAAACCCAAATGAAGATCAGGAATCTTAGGAATTTTTAATGAGTAGTCTGTCCTGGATTTATTGAGCCTTGTCTTTCACCATTTGATCACCTTCATTATGAACCTGGCCAAACCCACAATGGGTATAATTAAAAAAGCTCATGGAATAAGAGAAATAAATCAGCCAAACAACTTTAATTAAGAATAAATTCAAACTTCATAATTTAAGTTTTTATATTATATTCATTTGTAAATACACTCAAACAAACCTTTACATATGCAGCCGTAATTTAATAGATAAATTCAAACGTTTTCGACCATATTCAATGGCCTTTATCAAGAAAAACTGAAAAATCGAACTTCGAATTAAAAATTTGCATTACCGATACAAGCGTTATTTTTGGAACGTTTTTAAAAAGATATTCTATCGTATAAGCGCCATCTCTACATATTGGCTATAAATAGTTAACATAATACCAATAAATACATTAAAACACAATAAAGTGTTAAAATAATGCCCGTAAATACATTAAAATACAATAAAGTGCATATAGAAACAAGAGTCAAGAGAGTTGCCGCTATGCTATGCATGTTCGCCATGCTGCCGATATTTTGCTTGCATCCCGGAAGTTGATAGCTAAACCTTTTTGGCTTGTTTTGCAGATATGCCAGGCTTCGGCGTATCTGAGGTGCTTTCTGTCGCGTACTATTTGTACCAATTTAGCTTGGTCCCACTCCGCTTTGACCTCTTGTGGGTCGGCTAAGACGTACGTCGCCAGCGCTGTGCATGGCTGCTCTTTTCTTATATTTCTCTGATGCTCTAACAGCCTTTGTTTGATGGATCTTCCGGTAGCCCCGATGTAGAACATCATATTCTGCCTCCGTGTGTCTGTAACCGGGATTCTGTAGACTCCTGGAATAGTGTTCTTGTCCACAGCATCTTTGTCTGCCCTTAGCAACTGATAAATAGTGGGACTCCTTTTGTATACTATTCTTTTCTTTGTAGCAGCTCCTATTCGCCTATATACGTTGCTTAGCGAGGCCTTGTACTCCATCGTTGTGAACTCTTCTGTATTTTGTAGACTTCTCATCTTGCTACGTGTCTTACATAGGCTTTTTATAGCTTTAGTATTAATCCCGTGTCTCTTAGCTAATTTATTGATATAACCGAGCTCTTCGTTTCTGTCCTGGGTACTGCTGCAGTGCGAATAAGCTCGCGCGATGAGCGCCCGGAATGCTGCTAGCTTATACTTAGGCGGGTCGTGTGAATTCCATGGGATAAATATCGGGTTGTACGTAGGCTTTCT